CTCGCCGCCCGAGAAGCGGTTGCCCTTGCTGCCCGGGTGACAGAACTGCTGGAAGTGAGCAAAATTATGCACCATGATCCTCTTCTCCTGGGCGGTTATCGGCCTGCAGCCGGCCTCTGCCATCAGGAACAGCACCCGTTTGCGGTATTCCGCCTCGCCCGCGTGGCCCTGCTGCTTGCGCCGCGCAAAGTCCTCCTCTGTAAGAAAGTCGCACTCGCAGAGCTGGCACGCGAGCGGCCCCGCCATGACGGGGCGGGCGGAGAAGACGCGCAGCTGGCCCCCCTCCACCTCGCCGCCGGGAACGTAGCAGGTCTTCCCCGCGGAAGCGGCCGACGCCCTGCGCACCCGCTCCGCGTACCGCTGTACGAATTCTTTGAGCTGCGCGGGCTGAGTAGCACCGCGGCTTGACACCAGCTCCTTGTAGACGGCAAGGCGCCGCAGGATTGCCTTGGTCCGGATGCCACTCTCCAGCATCAGCAGGTCCTGTCGATCCTGTTCTGCGCCTCGTCAGCGAACCCTTCCATGGGGTTTGGGAGGGCCTCCGCCTCCGCGATGCGAGTCGCTGTTGTGTCATCGGTCTCCAACAGCTGGAGGGCCTGGAGCTCGGCCTCCTGCTCCGGGGAGAACTGCTTGGCCTTCCGTGCTTTCCGAACTAGCCAGCCTAGTTGCCGCTCTGCAACACTACGCCCGGCGGACTCCTTCGGAAAGCTGCCGAGGTCTCGCACCTGTTGCATGACCTCCTCGATCTTCGTCTGCTGCATGAGCCCGACGGGCTTCGTCTCCGCCCGCTGCAGAGTTTGAAGCTCGGCCTCCTGCTCCGGTGAGAAATGTTTGGCCTTCCGTGTTTTTCGGATGTGCCAAGCCAACTGCCGCTCTGCAAGCGGGCGATGAGCGCTCTCCTTCGGCCAGCTGCCGAATTCGCGCACCTGCTGCAGGAGCTCATCGGTCTTCTGCTTCCGCTTGAACTCCTCGGTTGCAGCACGCTGAGCAGCAGCGCTGACGGCGCGTGACTCCTCGAGGTCTTGCAATTCCAACATCACGTCACCAGGAATGCTCTCGCGGTGTTCAAGGAAACGTTTGACCAAGTTGTTTTCGGCTCGTGCTTCCTCAGACGTTCCATGATTTCTGATCGGTATACGACCGAACTGCTTCACGTCCTCGACGAGCGTTTGCAGAGATCCGCTTAATGCAGAACGCTGAAGGGCAGCGCTGACAGCGGCTGACTCTGAAGGCGAGGCGCATTCGAGGGCTTGCAACTCTAACATAACGTCATTAGGAATGCTGTCGCGGTGGTCGGAGAAACGTTTGGCCAACTTGTTTTCAGCTCGCACTTCCTCGGACGTTCCTTTCTTTCGCATCGGTATACGACCGAACTGCTTCACCGGGTCAACAATCCTTTGGACAGTACCGTTCAACACAGCACGCTGAGGAGGGGCACTGCTCACTGCAGCAGGCTGAGGAGCACCGCTGTTGGGTGCAGAAACGTCAGGAGCATCAGAACGCTGAAGTGCAGCGCTGACAGCGGCTGACTCTGAAGGCGTGGCGCATTCGAGGGCTTGCAACTCTAACATAACGTCATTAGGAATGCTGTCGCGGTGGTCGGAGAAACGTTTGGCCAACTTGTTTTCAGCTCGTACTTCCTCGGACGTTCCTTTCTTTCGCATCGGTATACGACCGAACTGCTTCACCAGGTCAACAACCCTTTGGACAGTACCGTTCAACACAGCACGCTGAGGAGGGGCACTGCTCACTGCAGCAGGCTGAGGAACACCGCTGTTGGGTGCAGAAACGTCAGGAGCACGGCGCCCAGACCGAGAGCTACCAGCATGCCGCGGCATTACTGTGTACAGTGGGTGCTGGAAAGTTCCTTTGTAAGGATAGCTCGAGGCAACATGGCTAGGGAGAACTTGATCATGATGATGGTGATGAGGGAAATTCGTTGTGGAGGAACCTCTGATACCGACACTGCTACGCACATGGAAGGTGTCTTGAAATGAGGCACAGCCAGAGTAGATATACAATGAGGCGTTTGAAAACGAGACACTGCTATCAACGCTTTTATAACTCAACGACGTCTGATTTCGACACTGCTACGAACATGGGGTTGTCTTGCAATGAAGCACGGCCATGACCTGATTTAGATTCCACAGAAACACATGCAGAATTGTTTTGTTTTTTCAAACACCGAAATTCTCTGTAAACGAGACACTGTGAACGACTGCAGAACAGGCGCTTGTAGCAAAGGAAGTGCAGGCTGAGAAGCACCGCGGGCGAAGGTGAATGAATCCGTCGGGCAACGTGAGCACAGACCGAAACTCTGTGCAGGCACTCTCAAGGGAGCCAGGGCAGGCTGAGGAGGAATGCAGGCCGCAAACACTATTCGTGCACCAGACGCCACAACAGTAAATAGTGCAGGCTGAGAAGCACCGCATAAACAACGAAACTACCAAACGATATGTTTGAGGCAAACGTAGTTGGCATCCCGCAAGGCGCAAGACAAAAATGCTTGCCATGTCCAGCAAGCTGAGAAGCATCGCTGACAAGACAGGAGAAACCTCACCTCAAGCTTTCTCCTGAGGGGTGGCTTTCAAGAATGCGGCACTTCTTGGCGGATTCCGGCGTCGTGCTCCACTCATTCATCCGCTTATGCTCGCCTGATTGCTGAAGCTCTGTGCGCATCCCCAGCGTTCTCAATTTTTTAATGAAGTACTGCGCCTCAGACACGACGGAGTCGTCAATGTGGGTCACGCTGTGCACCGTCATGCCGTCTTTTGAACAGCCAGTAATGAGCAACAAGCAGACTCTGTGCTTCGCTCGGTTGGGCGGATCCATTTTGAACGAGAGCAAGTTGTCAACTGAGCAGTGTCCGTGAATCGTCACTGAGGGGGAAGACTCACCGTCAGAAGCGTCCGTGACACCTGGTGTGGACACGACGAAGCCAGCCGCAGTGGATACGCACCGAGACTTCTGCGTGGTACGAACGAGAACGACTGCCAAGTGGCAGTTCCGGGTAAGCTGAGAAGCGTCACCCCCTCCACCCGCTGGTGAGTACTGCACGCGCATGCCGTAGAAGGGGCAAGACCGTATCTCAGAGAGCTGTGCCGCGAGCATTGCATCCTGGCTCTCGCGGCGCTGCTTCAGGGTCTCCAAGACGACATTGTAAGACGTATTCGGGGCGTGCGATATCTGAAGCGGTGAAACGGCCACCACAGTCGTGTTGACGAAAGTCCGTTGAGGTGTGTCATCCTGTGCATTCGCAGCCACATTGCGCACGCGTCTTATGATGCGACAATTGCTCAGTGGAGGGAAGGAGATAGCTTTCTCGTCGTGAACTTTTTTGAATTCTTGCATGCTGTCAATGCCAGTCAAGGCGAAGGCTGCCGCTTGTGATACGCCGACTTTGCACGAGCCACTGAAATCACGAGCAGTAGTCGTAAAGAACACGCGCTCGCCTGTGTTCTCCACCACAGAGTCGGCTGGCTCCGGTTCCTCAAGCCTCACCCCATTGACCTGCAACAAGAGTGGCAAGTTTGCATTCGGATCATCCGACGCCATAGCCAAAAAGGCACAGCAGGAGAGGAGTGCTTCTCCGGTGAGAATCTGCGAAGCATGGTCTGGATCCCAAGTACCCGCATGAGCGGTGGTCAGCTGCTCCCGGTCCATCGCGAAGTCTTGAGTGGCTGCTAAGTCGTGTAGTTGAGTCATTCTGGGACAAGAGCACGCGGAATCCACCACGCGATCTTGCGACAAGTTCAGCTCCAGTTTGCCGTCGAATTTGCCCGCCACGTTGAGAAACAGCAGCGGTTGTCCTTTTGTGAGAGCGACAAAGCTCTATGTTGGTGGATCCCCAGACTGCAATCACAGCCTCCGCTGTCTTGGAGTTACTCGTCTGTGTGCCGTCGACCAGATGTACACTTGCCACTGGAGGGTGGCCAGCGGGAGTGCGGGTTTCTGAAACAGAATGAACCACAGCCATGACATCGAAGCACCGCTGCGATTTGATGTTCATCATGTCTGCCACTGTAGTCGCTGGAGCCGGCGCCGATGCCAAGGAGGTCTCCTCCGGAGAGCTTTTGAGCACTGGAGTGCAGGTTGTGCGCTTGAGGTCGACCACGACACGAACAGACGTATGCACAAAAGCGTCCTGCTGCCGACTGTCCAGGCCGACGCTGGAGAGTTTCCACGCCGTCATCGGAGTGAACTTTTTCAGAGCAGCTTGGACTTCTGCTGGA